AAGATGAAATTCTTTCTAAAAATATATATTTTTATTGATTTTTTACAGAGAGGAAGAGAGAGGGATAGAGAGTTAGAAATATTGATGAGAGAGAATCATTGATCAGCTGTCTCTTGCACACCCCCTACTGGGGATGTTCCCACAACCAAGGTACATGCCCTTGACCAGAATCAAACCCGGGACCTTTCAGTCTGCAGGCCGACGCTCTATCCACTGAGCCACACTGGTTTTGGCAGAAGATGAAATTCTTAAGTCACTTCCTGGGCTTTCAGGATGGTTAATGCCCATGATCCCTGCTATGAAAACCCCCTCTCCTGTGTCCTTTGGGATGTCTGTAGTGTGAAAGGCAATGGTGCAGGAGTCGGGGGTGGGATAGGGGAGCAGTTCACAGGTGGGCAATACATTGACAAGAGGGAGGCAACGGTTGGGTCTGTTTTTAAAAAAATTTAGGCTTGCCCTGGCTGGTTTGGCTCAGTGGATAGAGTGTCTGCCTGTGGCCTGAAGGGTCCCAGGTTCGGTTCCAGTCAAGGGCACATGCCTGGGTTGCGGGCTCAAACCCCAGTAGGGGGTGTGCAGGAGGCAGCCAATCAATGATTCTCTCTCACCGTTGATGTTTCTATCTCTCTCTCCCTCTCCCTGCTTCTCTAAAATCAATAAAAATATATATTTTTTAAATCTAGGCTCCTTTAACCATAGAGAACATATCTTGGATGAGTGCAACTCCAGCCATAGGCGTGAAAGAGGAAAAAGAACGTTTTGAATAATATCTAAGGCAGAGAGCTCCATTTCATGGCTCTCAGGCTGGGGTGCATCATGAAGTTACTCTGCAATGTAAATGTGCCTTCTTCTGCTCTGAAATCACCGGGACTAACAACATGCGGTGTGACTGCTTTTCCCGGCCTTCCTGCCTGGATCTGGCAGGACGCAAGCTGCGATGAGTTGTTTTCCTGGATGCAGAGCACCTGGTAAAGAGAAGGAGGGTGGGGCAGGCAGGGTGGGGCAGCCCAGGAGCATGCTGGGAAGGTAGAACAGGGGCAAATATTTGCTGTGGAAGATTCAGGTTTTCATGGGTAACCCAGAGCATATCCTCTACAGCAGCTGTCAAGTACAGACGTGTTTTCCCAACAGCAGCTTCTGTTCAGTGTGGACATAGAATGTGCCGGCCTGGCACCAGGGGAGAAGTGAGCACAGCCCTGACACCTGCTTTTAGGGGCAGGAGAGAGAACGAGATAAATGATGCACAAAGACTGATTTTAATGCAGAAGATCGACCCAGCGGGTGGATTACAACCTCACATCACATAAGCCACAGATCAGAGACCATCCCATTTTCATTTATCAAGTGGCTGTTTATTAAGAGCTTCACACCCTCGGCACTATGCTACCAGAGTTATCTTCGAAAACGGAACAGACACCACTTATGGCCCTCATGGCCCCCTCAGTCTAATGAGAGATTAACAATGGGATCAAGTGTATTCGGTGCTGTAACAGGAGTGACACTTCCAGGGTGCTGTGGGGGCACAGAGGAAGGACAGCCAACCCTGACTGAGAGATCATGGAAGCCTTCTTGGAGGAGGTGATGTTGAGGCTGAGAGCTAAGGGATGAGCAGAAGTTAGCTAGGCCACAGCGGTGAAGGCTGACAGCAGGAAAGAATTTCAGGCAGAGAACAGGAAGTACTCTGTCTGGAGCATATGGCCGTATTTGACAACTAAAGCAAACATTACATTATTTTTGCTTTTAGAATTGTTCCTTCAGTGTTTATAATCTCCTAGCACAGCACTGGCAACCAGAGCTAACAGATATTCTCTATCAGTTTTCAAAGCATGTACTGGTTTTTCAGTTTTGTAAACGCCTGTTGTGACTTTCACGTGTAAGTATTATTTGATTTCTCAAATAAGTTTAAAAAATTTTAACAGTTTTAAACCATTATTTAATTTTTAACTTTATATTTTGAATTAATTTAAAACTTAAAGAGGAGTTACAAAACTATAAAATAAAATAAAAAGCTCCCATATATTCTTTATACTGTATATCCACCAATTGTTTACATTTGTTTTATCCATCTATCTACCTATGGGTATATCCAACACATTATTATTACCTTTGCCAAACAACTTGAGCCATCATACCCTTTAGACCTAAATACTTTAGAGTGTATCTCCTAAGAACAAAGACATTTTGGTACAGAACCACAGCACAATGATCAAATTCAGGAAAACCAACTAATACATGGTCTGTATTCAAATTTCACCAATTCTCCCAGTAATGTCTTTTTCCTTTTTCTAGTGTGAGATCCAGTCCAGGTCACACATGGCCTTCAGTTGTGGTGTCTCTCTGGGGTCCTTTTAGCTGGCCCAGCTCTTCTTTGTCTTTCATGCCATTGATGTTTTTGAAAGCGTGTGGATTGGCTGCTTTGTAGAAGGCCCCCTAATGTGGGTTTATTTGGTGTTTCTTCAGGATTCGATTCAGTTGATGCGTATCCAGTAGGTGAGTGATGTTAGGTCTGTTTTAGGAGATCACATCACTCATGTGTATCTCTTTATTGGTGATGTTCATTTTTATTTTGGTTTTTGGTACATTCTTTTCCAAGTGTAACACACACCCATACTACATAGCCAAACGTGTTCACATACAAATTTTTATCACAAAGGAGATTAATGAGCTAACCTGCTCTACAGTTCTTTGTTTGAATGCAGACTTCAGTGTTTAGTTTCTCTGGCCATCTCTGCCCATATTGTAACTTCCTGTAAATGGGTCATTGATTCACCAGATTGTAGCTGTGTTTTGGCCTTTAAAAAGGCTGAATGTGAAAGTGTAGGAGTAAAAAATGACTGCTTACCCATGCAAATCAGAATTGTCTTGATACTGTACAACCAAAACCACATGCAAAAGAAAATTGGGATCCTGAGGCCGATATAAGGTGACAATGAGCCCCGCTACACAGATCTGGGTTCATCAAAAGAGCCTCATTTGTCTCGATGCCTGATTTTATACTAATCTCAGCTTATAATATACTCTTTGCATATGTTCTGTATATGTTATATACATTGGGCTCTTGTATGAGATATTGATTGAAACAAGAGTTCCCTTGCTTTGGCCATGTGAAACCCATCACTGTAAATCACTGTATAAATCATACCCACTGTACAATCTCTTTTGTTCTAGTGACCCAGGGCTCAGGAAACATACATACATACATTTAGTAATAGGTCATTGAGTGTGGTCCCTGATTGCTCCAAATAGAACAACATTTGAGATTTCTTGCTTTTCTTTGTGAAACCCAGTTCTACTTCTGTGAAAACATACTAACACTAGCATTTTAGGACTATACCATACTCTATGCCATCACCTGTATAGCCACTGGCTGGCCCACACAAATGACCCACATAAAGGACCGTCCTACCTTGGACAGTGTCTTACTCCACAAACTGAGACCCACAGGGGTTTCTTTGGAGGAAGGAGAGCTGCCAGTGGTGGTCAGACTGCAGTTCTGCCTGGGCCAGGGGTGGGGCAGCTCTCAGGGAAGGTGACCAAGCTGCCAGGGTGGGTTTTCACAGCTGAAGCAGACTATGAGCAGAGTCCTCAGTCAAATTGGCCCACAAAGCTGGAGCCTATCCAGGTCTTTGGGGGCTTCCATATCCCCTAGTTGATTTTGGAACAGAAAATGGTCCTCAAGGAAACACCAGACAGAAGAGGAGCTGCCTTTTATAGAAAGCCATTTATAAAGTATCTTCATTGGGAAATGCAATCAAAGTTCCCAAGTAATTTTCCAAGCTCAACCAATGTATCTATAAATTGGAAACCAATGAAGCTTATTCTAGTCCATTGAACCGCTGTGGACTTCATAGCTACAAGTGCAAGGCCCTACAATAGGACTTGGTGGGTGCCAAGGGGGAAATCGAGACATTTAAGGCATGAACCCATGCTCAGGTAGCCTCCAATAATCCCAGGGAGATGATCCATACATATATTAAACACTTAATAACAATATAAGCGGATGTTTGATGATATGCTCAGAGGTGTGGAAGAGAAAGGTGGATTATGGGACATTGGAAAAGGAGAGCAGTCTGCCATTTGGCTCATAAGCCAAATGACCTGGATGAAAATGCAGCTTCCCCACGTCCTAGCCATGTGGCAAGTTACTTAAATTCTCTGAGGCGCTTTGGTCAGTTTGATTGTCACCAACATGTTAGCTGTTATTCTTTCAATTTGAGCGCAAAGCATCCTTTCAAGGAGGGGATGTGAGCAGAGAGGCAGAAGGGGGCTTTGTGGCTGGGCGACTGGATCCTTAGAAATGACCCTCGCCAAAAGCTCCCGGAGCAGGCGCCTTTTGTGACTTGGTTGGCAATTACCAAGCCAGGGCGGGAGGCCGCCACCCTGCTGGACACTTGATCCCACCCAGCCTCCTATGCCCGCCCTCCTCGGCCCCGCCCCGCGAGGTCCCAGCGCCGGTCCCCAGAGGGCGCTGCCGTCCCGCGCCCAGCCAGACCCCGCGCCAGCGCGCCCCCGCCGCCCGCCACGCGCGCGCGCGCGCCGCCCAGGTGAGGAGGCGGAGGCCCGCGCCGCCGCGGGGCGGGGCCTCGGCGGCGGGGCGGGGCCAGGCGGGGCCGGGCGGGGCCCGAGGAGCCGGGGTGGGGCGGGGCGCGAGGCCGCGGGGCCGGGGCCAGACCCGGGCCAGAGGCGGGACCAGCCGCCGCCGTCTCCGTCTCGGTGCCCCGTCCCCCCACAGCGCCAGGCGGCCGCCGCGGGAGAAGCGGAAACTGCCGGGCGCGCCGCGCGGACCGACCGAGAGCGCGCGCCGAGGAGCAGCGGGGCGGCCTCCGTCCGGCCCAGACCCCCCGAGCGGAGCGCGGCGCCCTCGCCCCCCGGGGTCCCCCAGCCCGCGGCCTCGCCCCGGCCCCGCCCGAGCTCGCCGCGCGCCCCCGCACCGGCTCCCGCGCCCCCGGCGCGCCCACCTGAGCCCCGCGGCGCCCACCTCAGCCCGCTCGCCCGCCGGCGCCATGGCGGAGCAGGAGAGCCTGGAGTTCGGCAAGGCGGACTTTGTGCTGATGGACACCGTCTCGATGCCCGAGTTCATGGCCAACCTCCGACTCAGGTGAGGGCGGAGCGGCCGGGCGCCCCGGCGCGAGCCTGCGCGGCCCCGAGAGGGGGCGCCCCACCCCTGCGGTGCGGCCGGGTTTGTGGGTGCGGGGGGCGCCCCGAGCTCAAGGAATGGGGTGCCACGGGAATGGGGGTATCCCGGGCTCTTGGCCGAGAAAGGACGCCCCGGGCGCGGCTGCATCGTCGTGTGAGGGGCGTGCGGAGCCGGAGGGGTGCGCCTTCCTGAGAGGGGGTGCCCCGGGTGCTGTCCGGGGTGGGGGTGGGGGTGGGTGGGAGGTGTAAGGGCCGTGCGGAGCTGGGAGCAGCGCGGGGGGCAGAGCAGGCTGGGGTGCTCCCCCAGGTGAGTGATGTGGGCGGGCCGGTGACCTCATGGAAACAAAAGTGACGGAGAGTAACTTTAGGGAGAGTCGCGGCGGCCCGAAGTCCTGGGAAGACTTAGAGGCTGTTTAGGAGAGGAGCTGGGGGTGCACCCCGGTTTCACACTTGGTGGCTTTTCTTTTTCTCTTCCCTTCTGACCCCCACCCCCTCACCCCTCCCTGGCGTGGCTCCGTCGCGTCGTGCGGGATGCTGTGGAGCGATCCCTGAGCTGCTTGCTGTCTGTTCCAGGACACGGGCTATTTTTTAGTTCCTCTCTACACGTAATTAGACAAGTTTCCAGACATCGAAGAGACTGCTCGGCTTGCCAGTGCCAAGATAAACTGTCTGAATTTGACAAGGCGGTCATGGTTTCGGTTTTTGGTGTTTTTTTTTTTTTTTTTTTTTCTTCTTCAAGGAGTTATGGATGGAGCCCTTGTGTTATTGACATCCTTGAAAATGCAGTCGCAACTCAGCACCCCTCAAGATGAGCTTCCAAAGACGAACTTATTTTTATAAAGTCTCCTCCATGTGATGTCTTTTTCTTTTGATAGAGTAAATGTAAGCAGAGCTTTAAAGTAGTTTAAAAAAAAAAACAAAAAAACCATTGCAGTAAATAGAGTTTCAAAATAACCGAGTTTGGGTCTGTGCGTTTCCTGGAAGTTCTGTCCAGGTTTATGTTAAATATCACACCATACTCGTAGGAAGTGAACACTATAATCTAGGTTTTGGTGTTTAACTAACCCCACATCTCAGTATTAGTTATCCCTGCTGGTCTCAATTTGTATTTGAAAACCTTTTTTAACCTTTGCAATTGCAAACCCCCATTAGAGTCTTCACCTGCTTGTGGCCAGATTTCCTTGCGTCCCTGAGGCTGGGACCTAATTTTTTACACCTGCCTATTGTAAACCACACACACCTGAGCAAGTTTCCTTATTTGTAAAATAATGGGGACTTTTAAGATTTTTCAGTCCTTAATTATATTTTCTTTTTGCTTTCATATATCATTGGTTGCAGAGGTGTATTTTATTTATTTTTATTGATTTCAGAGATGAAGGGAAAGAGGAAAGAGAGAGAGAAACATCAATGATGAGAGAGAATCATTGATCAGCTGCCTTCTGCACTCCCCGTTCTGGGGATCGAGCTCATAACCCCGGGCATGTGTCTTGACCGGGAACCGAACCAGTGACCTCCTGGTTCATAGGTCAACGCCCAACCACTGAGGCATGCCAGCTGGGTGGCTGCAGGTTTTCTAAGTGTGAGGTTTGAATCGTAAGATGATTGATGTAAGCCAAATGTAATTATGTGCCCAGAAAAGAACTTGGCATTGTAATTCCACATTTGTATAAGGCACCTTAGGAGGTAGGGTGGAAGGATCCAAAGATCTATAAAATGTGCCCCAAGCCTCTCAGAGAGGGGTCATGTCGAGGAAGACTGGGAGAAAGGTGACAATTGCTTTTGATTTAAATAAGAGGTGAAGAAAACAACAGAAGAGCTTTTTAAGCCTTATAGAGCCTTATAGAGCTTAGGTGATTCTTTGCTAAGAACTTGAAGAGGGAGATGCTTGAGGCTGGCTTAGAACACCATGTAGAGCAAGCATGCCAAACTCAAAGGCTAACAGGCCAAGCAAATGAGTCATGTGGCCCAGAGGCCGTGAGTTTGACACGCTTAATATAGAGGATGTGAGACATTGAGTCATGAAGGATGTGTAGGATTTGTCTAGGACAGTGGTCGGCGAACTCATTAGTCAACAGAGCCAAATACCAACAGCACAACGATTGAAATTTCTGTTGAGAGCCAAATTTTTTAAACTTCTTCAAAATAGACTCGCCCAGGCCATTGTATTTTGTGGAAGAGCTACACTCAAGGGGCCAAAGAGCCGCATGTGGCTCGCAAGCCGCAGTTTGCCAACCACGGGTCTAGGAGGATAGAGTAGCCTGAGAAGAGGTATGGAGGCAGGAAAACCTACTCTGGGTGACAGTGGATACATTATCTGGATGGGAAAGGAGCTGTGGGAGGAATCCCCCGCAGCTCTCATTAGTTCGACCCCTGGCCAATGCCCAAGGTTCTAGGTCTGCCTTCACGCTCAGTCACCAGGTCAGTCAAGATTCTGGATATTCAGACCTGTGTGTGTGTGTGTGTGTGTGTGTGTGTGTGTGTGTGTATCTCATCTGTGTGAACACTTGACGACTCTTAGAATTGGCTGCAATTCTCATGGCACAGATTCGGCAATTGTTCACGACGTATACGCTGCCAGCAGTTTGTTCCCCATAGCTGTATCCCCTTACCCTCCCGCCCAGCTGGGAACCCTGAAGACCCAGCTGGGAAGCAGTCCTCTCTCCGGCAATCTGAATTTCTTGTCACCTGAAATTTTGAGTGTGTAGCTGCTTGAGCTCCTGGGACGCTTGCACTGTGCAGAAGGAGACCAGAAACTCCCTGCAGATACAGGTGCTCTCAGGTGAGGTTGCAGGGTGTTCATCTCCCAGGACCTGGCTGGTTGGGCCCATACCATGTGTATGCTTCTGGTCAGATCCAGGTGAGATCTGAGAGTGTTTCATCTCTCTGTAGTAAGTGTGCATGTGCCCTGTCATTCCTGCCTTCCCGACCTGGGCTTCTCTCGCTCCGTCGGAATGTCCTGTCCTCTGCTCCCCACCTGGCTTCTGCAAGGCCCTCTTTAGGATTTTCGATCTGTGATGTACAGCCCCGGGGTCCCCAAGGCTGCCGTTGTTTCAGGGGTCTGTGCCCTCCAAACTCGGCTTTAATTTTTCCAACAGCAGCACCCCGCACACTGGTGGGCCCGTTCTCGTGACAGTGATTTTCGTGGAGAGAAAAAGGAAGAATGTTTCACTTTCCTTTTTGACCCCTTTATGACATTGTCCATTTAGAGTTATCTTCTTCTTTTGCTACTGCGCTGGCCTTTTCTTTTCCTGTTGAAAGGCTTGACTTTCAGACATCCGCTACAATGGATGTGACTTTCCCCTTAGTGTTTCTATTTTTAAAAATGGACGGAGGTGGGTGTCCATGCATGGGAGTCTGCAGGAGGCAAGATTGAAGGGTGATGTGGATTAGTGGGAGTCAGTACCTAAATCGGAGGAGTTTCAATTTTTATGTGTTACCCTTATGCCCCAAACTGCTAATAACTTGAGGGCCGCCTCCATTCCTGCTAGAAGTCTCTTGCTAGGGGAGGTTTCTTCTGTTTGTTTTTACTTTCCGTGGAGGTGGAGGTGGTTTTGGCTGCCACAGTAAGCCCATCACTCCATTTTCAAGGGTAAGATTCCTCCCCAGGCACCTCCTGCCTTCACAGTCAGGCATGGCTCCTGCCAACAACCCTCATGATCACTTGAAGCCCTGGCCGTGGATTCCCCACTGTATTCCGCTTTCCTCGTAGCCACTTCCTTTCTGGACCTGAAGCCCCCTGGACCAGTTTTCCCAGCATTCACAGCAGCGTTGCACCCTCTCTCGCAGTGAGCGCACCGCCGGGGCTAGCCACATGGAACAACCGTGCTCCTTGCTCCTCACTAAGCCGCCCCCATGAAGGGAAGAATGGGGACTGCTGCTCTGGAGTGGCCTCGAGCCGAGGACAGTGTCCCCAAGAGTCCTGCTTCTCCTGGCACAGGACGAAGAGATACACCTTAGGCTCCTGGGAGGCCAATTTCCTAACTCTGTTGGTGGTGGTTTCTGTATTAAGAATGAGGGATCGGCTCAGCCTTCTATCTTGGCTCCTTGGAAATTTAATGTTTCCTCCTCTCTCTTCTTATTGGCTTTTCCCTGCCGTAAAAGCAGCCATTTAAAGCACTCTGTTTGCCAAAGCAACAGGCAGCATCTCACTTTTAACCTAACACACTATATCTTTTATATTGCTTGGACCAGGTGTCTCAGCCTTGGCTCTCTTGGCCTTTGGAGACCACTTTGTTATGGGGGCTGTCCTGGGCACTGGAGGACATTTAGTAGCATCCTTGGCCTCTATCCCCCGGACCCCAGTAGTACCACCCACCTACCCCCAATTATACCATCAGATGTCTCCAGAGATTGCTGAATACCCCTTGGGGCGAGGGGACATTGTCCCCATTTGAGAGCCACAGGCCTGGGCTGTTCTCAGTCTCTTGGGATGTTCTCCTTCCCTCACCTCTGCCCTCCCTGCCTGTCACACTCTTACTCATTCTTTTTTTTTTTTTTTTTTTTTTTTTTTTTTTTTTTTTACAGAGAGTAAGGGAGAGACATAGAGAGCTAGAAACGTCGATGAGAGAGAAACATCGACCAGCTGCCTCTTGCACACCCCCTACTGGGGATGTGCCTGCAAGCAATGTACATGCCCTTCACCGGAATCGAACCTGGGACCTTTCAGTCCACAGACCGACGCTCTACTGCTGAGCCAAACCGGTTTCGGTCTCTTACTCATTCTTGAAGACCAGTTCTGAGACATCTTTCCCAGTCCACCAGTCCGGGTTGGTTTCACTCTTACCTGTGCTCCCAGGGTACATGGACCCTGGGCCCTACTGTTAGAGAGAATGTATCATACGATGATGTTCTCTGCATGCCTGCCGCCACCAGCTTGCGAGCTCTTCAAAGACGAGGGCCTGCCCAGAAGGGGGTCCAGGCCTTGTGGTCCTTTGAAGCTCCTTACAGTTGAGGAGGTGGGGG